GAGGGCAGTGGCACCATCTCGGCGCATTGCAAACTCTGCCTCCCGGGTTCAAGCAATTCTCCTGCCTCAGCCTCCTAAGTAGCTGGGATTACAGGTGCACGCCACCACGCCCAGCTAATTTTTGTATTTTTAGTAGAGACAGGGTTTCACATTGCAGAGTGTGTGTGTGTGTGTGTGTGTGTGTGTGTGTGTGTGTGTGTATACATGCGCGCATAGGTGCATCTGCAGAAATAAGTCTACAACTCCAGGCTGTAGCTGGAGAATCTCCAGGATGGACTTACGTCACAGTAGGGCGTGATGTGGGGTGTGCCTGCTGTGTGTGTTGGGTGGGGTTGGAGTGGGATGGGCTGAGCTGGTAACACTGAGAATCTTCGGCCCTGAGCTCCATAAACTGAACCCATGGGGGAGGTGCCTAGCTGGATGCAAACTCCTTAATTCCTGTTTGACTTTGGCCCAGTTAGTAAACCGCTCTGAGCCTCAGTTTGCACATCTGTAGGGTGGGGATAAATAGTACCTGCTTCCTATGACTGGAGAAAAGAGCGACGTGATAGGGGTAAAATGTTCAGCATCATGCCAGACACCTGGTAACCAACTGGTGGTACGTGGGAGTACCACCAGGGGCACCATGGAAGCCTGAAAATTGTTCCAGGTGACAGAGCCACCTAAGTGTGTTGTATCCTGTTTTTTTTTGTTTTTTTTTTTTGATATCAGAGAGCTGTTAAAAGTCATCAGATTTCCACATATATGACTTGATGTTTGTTCTCAGCTCAAAAGTAGGTACAAACATCAGTGTGAATTGAGATTTCCAGGAAAAGTAGACAAAAGAAAAAAAAAAGCTTTGAAAAACATTTTCCCGTAAGTAATTTCATATGTTTACATATCAACTTAAGGGAAAACACAACTACTTATGCTTGCAATTTTATGACTGTATCATTTAATAAACATTCTGTGCCAGAGGAGGTTACGGGTTGAGTCCCCTGAAAAGACAGGCTGAAGTCCTAGCCCTTAGTGCCTCAGAGTGTGACCGTACTTGGAAATGGGATCATCACAGATGTAATTCGTTAAGATGTGATCACACCGGATTAGGGTGAGCGTTTAATCCAATATGCCTGCTGTCCTTGTTAAGAAGAGGAGGGACTCATGAGCCCTCAGCCAAGTGAGGATGGAGGCAGAAGTGGGCATTACATGGCCACAAGCCAAGGAGTGTCCAGGAGCCGCTAGGGCTCCCTGGAACTGGAAGAGGCAAGGAAGAAATCTCCCGCGGAGGGTTTGGAGGGCCCATGGCCCTGCAGGCACCTTAATTTCTAACATCTGGCCTCTGAAACGGTGAGAGAATAAGTATCTTTGGTACTTTGTGTGGCAGCCCCAGGAAACTGACACAGAGGTAGAAATGCAGTTGAGACACAGGGTAAAAGGTATTTCTGGGGGTGGACGATTGAGAAGGAGAGACTTGTGGGCTTTTAGTGCCCACCCCAGACCGTTCGCGCCCCACATCTTGTCTTATCTCCAGGCAATGAGGAAAGAAGGCTCAGAACAATTGTGCCCTGGTGTATTTTGCATCATCTTTTTAGAGGAAAACTGCCTGGAGAGTGCGGTGGTGACTACCGTGCAGGATGTGTGACCATGTTAGCAGATTTCGGTCCCTGATCTGCTTTTTCTTTGGATTTGATGTGAATGTTGTTGACCAGAACTGGAGGCGAACAGGAGAGAATTAACTGTCTTCCCTCCAGAGGGACTAGGTACTGAAATGTGCTTTCCGGATCCCCCCGGCGCAGTGAACTTTGGAGTTAGAGGACGAGCTGATGATCTCTTCCTTTCTTTCCAAAGAGGATGTCCGTGAGTTACGGTCTTCGTTCTTTTTGTTTTTTGAGACGGGGTCTCACTCTTTCACTCAGGCTGGAGTGCAGTGGTGCCATCTCAGCTCACTGCAGCTTCTGCCTCCCAGGTTCAAGGGATTCTCCTGCCTCAGCCTCCCAAGTAGCTGGGATAACAGGCGCCCGCCACCACACCTGGCTAATTTTTGTATTTTTAGTAGAGACGGGGTTTCATCGTGTTGGTCATGCTGGTCTCAAACTCCTGACCTCAAGTGATCTGCCCACCTCGACCTCCTAAAGTGCTGGGACTACAGGTGTGAACCACCGCACCTGGCCTGTCTTCTTTCTTTCACGTGTTCATTTAGTGGACATCCAGCCAGAGCTGCCCACGTGGTGACACCCTTCCTAGGCGTTAAGGACTCAGTGAAGAACAACATCAGCTTGGCGTCTGCCCTCAGGTTGCTGTGGCTGCCTAGCAGGAAAGACTTGGGGCCAGGCAGTTACCATGCTTGGCGGAGAGATGAGTGCTCTCAGGGAAGACACCTGCTGTGCAGGTGAGGGCCACCTACCCAGGTGCCACCTGGTCTGCGAACGCCAGTGAGGGGTGTATTGTTTCTAGAATCTGATGGACATACTGAAGATACTCAGGGGAAGAGGGGCTAGGTGTTCTCAGCAGTGGGAACAGCATGTCCAAGCCTCGTGTGGCTTGTTGGAGAAGCTGAAAAAATAGAACATGCAGAGTGAAGGCGTTCAGCAGAATGAGAATAAGCCGTGAGTGAGAGAAAGGACTTGGAGCCTCCCAGGTCGAATGAGGGCCTGGAGGAACAGCAGGAGCACATCGAACCCATCTCCCTGGGCTCTTGCCGTGGGCCAGGGTTCAGCCTGATGAACTGCTGAGAGCTGTGTCCCCGGCTGGTGTCCATGTGTCCCAGGCCCTGCCCCCAGGGACTTCAGTGGAACCTGCAGTTCGTAAATTTGCCCAGTATTCTTAAGCCTCCAGCTTAAGATGTGGTCATACTAGATTAGGGTGGGCCTTTAATCCAGTATGCCTGGTGTCCTTGTTTAAGAAGAGGAGGGACACATGAGAACTCAGCTGTGTCCTGAGAGCTCTGTCCTCAGCTGGTATCCATGCCTCTCAGGCCCTGCCCCCAAGGGCCCCAGCGGACCCTGCAGTCTGACTTGTAAACTTCCCCAGTATTCTTAAGCCTCCAGCTTAAGGCATGGTCATACTGGATGAGGGTGGGCCTCTAATCCAATATGCGTGATGTCCTTGTTAAGAAGAAGAAGAGGAGGGACACATGAGAACTCAGCCATTCAGGCTGGGGGCAGAAGTGGGCGTTACGTGACCACAAGCCAAGGAGTGTCCAGGAGCCTCTAGGGCAATTTACCACCCAATTTACCAGAAACTAAAGAGAAATGGACTTCCTTTCCTCTCCTCCTCTATTTCTAAGCATTATTTTGCACAATCACCCCACAGCTACTGTTGCCCTGACCCAGAAGGGTTGATCTATTGGGTCTAGAGTGGTATTACAGTTAAGCGTTTAATCAGGTCACTTTCAGAGGCTTGGTGGGGGGCCTTTAATCTCTTGAGCATTTTCACATGTCTCATTTGACGAGGGCCTCTCTGTCCAGAAAGACTGTAGGGCGGAGCCAGAGCTTCCAGCTGTGTTTAGATCCATCATGTACAGGTGAAATTCCATGGAAGCTTTTTTGCATTGGAATTGATTCTGCAGTCCAGTATCAGGTCCTCTCGTGGGCTACATTCCATTAACCTGGAATCCCAGACGGTTAAGAGATGGTTTGCAGTCGGACTGATCTGGGGATGAACCCTTTGCTAGTTGTAAGTTTTGGAATTTACCTCACCCTCTATGCTTTGGTGTACTCAACCTGTTAACTGGGGAGAAAAGCAATTGCTACCCCTTGGTGTTTTCATGAGGATTCAGTGTTGACACCCAGGAGATGTTATCATTTATTGGACTTTGCTCCCTAATCTAGTAGAGAAATGGACCACAGGGTGGCAGTTGGGAGGATGGAGCTGCCAAGTGTTTGCTGTTGACCAGAGAAGGGGCCTGGGGCTCAGTATGCCTGGTGGAGTCTCTGGGAAGCTTCACCAGGGAGGCTCCTGGTGAGCCTTGGAGGACGCTGAGGACGTGGAGGGAAGCAGAGGGAGAGTGGCAGACTGGAAGGAGCCTGAGGGAGGCGCTACCTGGGCTTCAGCTTCAGATGCATGGGAGAGAGGTGGGTCAGGGCCAGGAGTGCTCAGGCCAGCTTAACAGGTAGGACTTTTGTCCTGAGAACCTCAGGATGGAGGGACCATTGGGGGGAGGGGCAGGGGAAGCAGGCGGGAGTGCAGTTCATGGCACAGTTGTAAGTTCGTGAATCCGTTGCATGATTTAAAAACAAAATAATTGAGGTGAGAGTCACATAACATGTAGCCAACCATTACCAAGAACAATTCTGTGGCATTTAGAAGGTCACAGTGTTGTGCAGCCACTGCCACTGTGTAGTCCGAAACATTTCTGTCACTCCAAAGGAAAGCCATATACCCATTTAGCAGTTCCTTCTTTTTTTTTTTTTCTCTTCCTCCAGCTCCTGGCCGCCACCAAACTGTGTTTTGTGTCTCTGGATTTATCTGTCCTGGACAGTTCATAAAAATGCAGATCCCACAGTGTGTGGCCCTTGTGTCTGCATTCGTCCATTTAGCATGTGCATCCACACTGTAGCATGGATCGCTGCTTCGTTCCTTTCTGTGGTGGAATAGCCTTCTGCTGTATGAGTAGACCACGATTTGTTTGTCTGTTCCCCTTGTGATGGACATATGGGCTCTTTCCACCTTTTGGTTCTTGTGACTGGCGCTGCTGGGAGCATTCATGTCTACGTGTGTGTTCGAGCAGGGGCTCGGTTCTCTTGGACCTGGGAGTGGAAATTGCAGGGTCATGTGGCGCTTTCGTGTTTCATTTAGTTGCATGATCCTTGGACACAGCAGCAAAGCCTTACTGGACTTCCCTGGCCCAGGCGTGCACTGCGTGCTTCACCCCCTTACCTCCCTGAGCCTTCCCTGTGACCGTCGGGGTGGGGAACAGGTGCCCTTCCCTGGGTGGGTGGCATGGGCGCTGGTGGTCCTCTTGGCCGCTTTGCTGTTCGGTCTCCTTAGAGGGGGTGCAGCGCCTCCTCCTGCATTTCCAGGGCTGGCCCTCTCCAGCCTTGGGAGACTGGAGATTCTGATTCTGTGGTTCAAGGCCTCGCATGGGCAAGGCCTGGCCTGGGGTCACTGGCCTCGCGCGCAGGAGTCCGGGCCAAGGCGAGGTTTTGCCAAGGTTGGCATCTAAGACATGTAGAGACAAAGCTGCCTGTGCTGCCCCGATTGCATTAGCCGTGGCAGAGAAGTGTGGGCATCAGCGCCAGGACTTGGGGCCCAGACCCTGGTTTTCTATAGGTGAGTACCCCCTACTGGGTTTTTGGCTATTTGGATATCAGGTGGCTTCTGACAGTTTTTGAGATGCTTGACCTGAGGACATGAAAGGGGAGCTGATAGAGGACCAACTCCCTGTCTCGTCATCACATCCTGCAAGGGCCCATCTCCCCTGCCCATGGGCAGTGCCAGCGTCAGATTCCCTGCGTCGAGGACGGGGGCCACAGGAAGCCAGTTTATTTTGGAGTTGGGAATTCTCCTGGGCTAGTTGCTGCACGCCCACCGAGCCAGTTCTCTGACCCAGGAGGGATGGAGCATCTCGGAAATAAGATCTGGGCGGTATAGTCCCAGAGGATGGTGGGTGGGAGAGTCAACAGTGTGTTTTCACTGCAAAAGCCTCTCGTGAGCTCAGACTTGGAGAGACATGGATGGAAGCCAGAGAGAGAAGCCAGGACGGGATACTTTCACTTTCTTGAAAATTAAAATGAACACTGTTCCAGGCTGTCCTGGGGGAGCGTTTGCACGCTGTGTGGCTGTGAGGTTTGGAGGGGCGAAGACACCCGGATGCATGGCTGATCCTTCTCTGTGTGGAGGTCTGTCTTGGAGCAGGGGGTGGGACCTGGTCTGGTGGCGCCGGGGGAAGCGAGGCCCAGAAGTGCAGGTTCAGGAGCCCGAGCTGAGCTGAGCACAGTGAACGCAACAGTGTGTTTTTACTGGAAGCCTCTCATGAGCTCAGACTTGGAGAGGCATGGATAGAAACCAAAGAGAGAATCCCCCACTGGGTTGGAGTCAGGGGCCTCATCTGTTGAATGGGCGGTCGACTTTCTAGGAGTTTTCCAGCTCCACTTTCCCGTGTATTTCAGGGAAGCCAGTCCGAAGCGGGAGGTGGTGCGGCACAGGGTTTATGCAGTCAGGCTCTGGAGTACGGCCTTCCTGTCACTGCCAGGAACCAACGTGTCTTCATCTATCGACTGAGGATACGCGCGGCCCCAGTCCTCCCTGGGCTTTGGAAGGACGCAGAGTCACTGGAAAGTGCTTAATCTTGTGCCTGGTGCAGAGTACCTGGCATTATTATTAGCCCAGCCAGCACACACTCAGTCTCCCCTTCCAGAGATTACTTAGAAAGGTAACAAAGAATTGTCAGGTAGTAAAAAGGCGTGAAGTCTTTTGTTAACAGGAATAAAAGTGGGCCGCTGAGACAGTTCGTAGAATATTGATGGAGATGCTGATGACTCCGGAGATCCCACGTGTTGGATATGTGGATTCTGGAAGGTTGATGACAGTCAAAGCTGCACGCCAGAATCAGTATTCAGAGCGTTTGATTATCTCAGCCCACAGGCCTAGCTCTGAAGGAACCTCCTCCAGGCTAAATGTGAAGTTTAAAATTAGGGACTTGGATCAGCTGATGACTGCAAAATAGCAGAGAAGGGCCTTCAAAGCCATGCTGGGGCGGGGTGTGTTGGCATGTACCTCGTCTCAGCTATGCCGAAGGCTGAGGCAGGACGATTATGAGTTCAAGCCCAGCCTGAGCAAAATAGCAAGACCCTTGTCTCCAAAAAACAGAACAAACAAAAAACCTGACCTCTCGGGAAGACCTAGAGATTGCTTTTGACTCAACCCAGTCAACAGGCTGATGGGATTTCTAGAAAAGTAAAATTAGCACCATTCCAGGCTGTCCTGGAGGAACATTTGAACGCTGCAGCTGTGAGGTTCGGAGAGGCGAAGACACCAGGATGTATGGCTGTATGGGACTCTGTCTTGGAGCAGCGGGTGGGACCTGGTCTGGTGGCGCCAGGGGAAATAAGGCCCAGCAGTGCAGGTTCCGGAGCCCGTGTTGAGCCAAGCACAGGAGGCCCTTTGTGGTAGGTAAGGGGCGGATCGTCCCTGGAGTACCACGGCCCTTGCTGGTGGAGGTGGGTGCACTGGGCCACTGGCTGATGCACAGGCGACTGCAGAATATCTTCAAGTCTCTCTCCGCTTGACGTTTGGTTAAATTACTGCCAGACTTGGGGGAACTTTCCCTCACCGCAGGTGCCCAGAGTTGAGATCAGGCCGAGATCCGGGCCCTGTGTCACCGTCCCCTTCTGGCCAGCTCCTCCCCTCCTGCTCTGGGGTGTCTTGTATATGTGTCCTTCAGTCCTTTTTCCATAGGTTGGCCTGGATGTATGTGGAGGAGTCTGAGGCATTTTTGAGCTTGTGGAGGAGGACTGGGAGGACCTTGGCTTTGGAGGACTGGACAAGCAGAAGGCCCGGGGCTGGGGCCTTGATGTGGGGACCTTCCTCTGGGAGGCCGCCCAGTGTGGCAGGGCTTCCCACAGTCAGGACGGAGTCTGTGGAGGTGTTGAGATTTGCAGCTCTTGCAGGTGTGTTGAGGTGAAAGTGCAAGTTCATTTTGGGGGAAACAAATGTTTCTGCTGCATGGTAGATGCCTGCAGCTGCAGCCGCTCCCAATGGACATCTTTTGTTGAGTGAAGCTGTCCCTGTAGGTGCTAAGATGAGAAATGATACTGTCTGTCCTTAAGGATTTAACTTTTGCCACTGTCAGAGGGGTAAGGAAGAAGCCAGCCTGGGTCCTTCGGTGTTCTCTAGAGTCAGGTTGCCTCCTGCCTGTACAAGTTAAACAACGTAAGAATGCACAAGGATTCTGTAGAGCTCCCTGGACTTCCTGGGTTTTGCACGTGGCATTCGCTGAGGTTTCCCTGTCCTACCTTCTGGCCTAGGGAGGGGGTAAAAAGATGGAGGAAGCAGGACTTTGCTCTTGGGGTGCCCTGAGTCGGCCTGGGTGAGCAGGAGGACATACATGCAGGACGAACGGGAGGTTTACACCCGGCAAATGATGAAGTGCGTATTCTCTCTGCTTCTCTTTGAGGCATCAGTGGTTTGTGGGAGGTTGGAGACATTTGCTGAGGGGCCATTTGAACCTCTCCAACATGAATTCTCCTGCGATCTTATAATAGGGAATTTGAAGCTATTTTACTTAATCTTTTTTTTTTTTTTTTGAGACAGGAGGTTTCGCTCTTGTTGCCCAGGCTGGAGTGCAGTGGCGCCATCACGGCTCACTGCAAGCTCCGCCTCCCAGGATCACGCCACTCTCCTGCCTCAGCCTCCTAAGCAGCTGGAACTACAGGCACATGCCACCATGCCTGGCTGATTTTTGTATTTTTAGTAGAAACAGGGTCTCACTATGTTGCCCAGGCTGGTCTTAAGCTCCTGGTCTCAAGCGATCTGCCTGCCTTGGCCTCCCAAAGTGCTGGGATTACATGTGTGACCCACTGCACCTGACCTATTTTACTTACTCTTAAAACTCAGAGTTTTTTTTTGTTTTGAGACGGAGTTTCACTCCTGTTGCCCAGGCTGAAAACTCCGATTTTATATATAGTATTTCCATTGTCTGTTAGTCTAAACAGGATCTAGATTTTTATTACCAAAACAAAACAGCCTGGTACCTGCCTTGTCATTTGTGCTTCTGAGAAAGGGGTGCCGTTGACGTTGAGTCAGAACCTGGGTGGCAAATGCTACACTCAGTGGTAGCCTTGAGTGTGACCCACGTGCTGTGGGGCTCGCCCTGACACCACTGGGGCTCTGTTGCAGGTCCCACCTTCGGAGAGAAGCTGTGCACCGTTTGACTCACTTTTTCATGATCGTAACACTTGGTCGTTGAGAATCAAAAGCTGATAAATTCTGCAAATACCCAAAGATGAGTTTTAACATTATCTTTAAAAATCACTGATGCCTGATGTGGAGCCACACATTTGGAGCAAGACTGGGCAGTCTCTTTAAATCCACATTGCAGGTTATTTGAAAGATGGATGTCAACTTAACCTACTTTCCGACCCGCTGTGAGTCTGACTTTGTGCATGGCTCGCTAGCACAGCTCGTCACAGCCTATTTGGAATTTATGAGTTTTTTTTTTTTTTGTCTTGATAAAGCCCTGTGCACATAGGGTAACAATAAGGGTTATGAAAAGTATAAAACTAGGCCGGGCGCAGTGGCTCATGCCTGTAATCCCAGCACTTTGGGAGGCTAGGGCGGGCACATCACGAGGTCAGGAGGTCGAGACCATCCTGGCTAACACGATGAAACCCCATCTCTACTAAAAATACAAAAAATTAGCCGGGCGTGGTGGTGGGCGCCTGTAGTCCTAGCTACTCAGGAGGCTGAGGCAGGAGCATGGTGTGAACCTGGGAGGCGGAGCTTGCAGTGAGTGGAGATCTTGCCACTGCCCCCCAGCCTGGGTGACAGAGCAAGACTCCATCTCAAAAAAAAAGAAAAAAGAAAAGCATAAAACTCTGTTTTGGGATGTAGATCATTATATCATAACCACATAAAAAGCCTCAATTAGGATGTTGCTGATTTTCATCTAGAAATTGTCTGTGAAGAACTCCATGAAGTTGGAAGAACAGCTGTAAATATTAATATACTTTGCTTAGTGATTGTGTGGCTTTAATCTACAGTGTGTTCATGCGTGCTGGGTTTGTGCAGCCCTCTGCAGTAGGGCAGGAAGTTGGAGATCGTAATTGCTCTAGGCCAGATCTCGGCTGGCAGCCCCCAGAGGAGTCTGGCTTGCATCCATGTAGGAGGGCCTGGGAGACGCAGATTGGAGGCTTGTTCTTTAAAGGTCCAGTGGGGGTCTGGCCTGCCCTGCCCTGCCCTCTGTGCTGCTGCTGGGAAGTCCAGCCAGGCTGAGCCACATCCTTGAGCTGTCAGAGAGTGGCGTGTCCTCTTCTCTCAACCTGGAAGGCACCTTCCTCACCCAGCAGCTATTCCTTCCTTCCTCCTCTCTCCTTTCCTTCCTGTGTGTTCCTGCTCTTTGCCTAACTTCTCTCTATCCCTTGGATACTTGCCTTCATGTGGTGAAGGTGGCCCTACTCTGAGCTGCCCCAGCATCCTGTGAATCAGAGGGCAGTGTTGAATACTGCATTGGGATCGCCTGGTTCCTGGGCCGTCTCCACCATCTAACTCCATGAGGACAAGGGTAGCATCTGCCCTGCTGGCATCTACTGCCATCCTTGCCACAGGGCTGGTGCTTAGTAAATACTTGTTGAATGCACGAGGCTGAAATGTGTAAATTGCAGAAACTTTTTTTTGAGACGGAGTCTCGCTCTGTCGCCCAGGCTGGAGTGCAGTGGCCGGATCTCAGCTCACTGCAAGCTCCGCCTCCCGGGTAATTGCAGAAACTTTTTAAAGATTTGTGTGAGCACTGTTGCAAAATGTTTGAAATTAGGGCTGTTCTGGAAAACAGTTGGTTTTTTTTTTTTTTTTTAGTTTGTCATCCAGGCTGGAGTGCAGTGGCACAGTCATAGCTCACTGCAGCCTTCAACTCCTAGGCTCAAGTGATCTTGCCACCTCAGCCTCTGCAGTAACTGGGACTACAGGTGCACACCACCATACTTGGCTAATTTTTAAACATTTTGTAGAGACAGGGTTTTGCTCTATTGCCCAGGCTGGTCTCAAATTCTTGGCCTCAGCTCAGGTGATCCTTGTGTCTCAGCCTCCCAAAGGGTTGGGATTACAAGCGTGAGCCCCTGTGCTTGGCTGTAGATTTTTTCTGTTAAAGGCCAGAGAGTAAATATTTTAGGCTTTGTGGGCCATC